TTGGTGGGCCATATGGTTTCTGGTACAACTACTCAACTCTGCCTTTTTATTGGGAAAGCAACCATACACAACATATAAATGAATGAGTTCAATAAAAACTTTATTTACAAAAAGAGATTGCCATTCAAATTTGACCTGTGGGTCATAGTTCACTGAGACCTCTCCGAATGGGTCATCAAACACTTTTTCCAGACCTTGTGAGAAAGTTAATTACCATGGTATTTTCTTTGGATGACCCATTAGCAAATTTGTTTTACTGCCATTTTAACCAGGCCAAGGTTAAATATTTATTCAGCTCTTCTCTCTTCAAGTTAAAGAGATCCAATGGCTCAACTTTGAGAGCTGCCCTTTCAAATCTATTTCTGTCTAGAGATTGATGCTCATTGATTAAACTATTCCTGAACTGGCTTAAATTTGCAATTGTACGATTGAAGTCCAAACAACAGGTGTGACAGTTCGTGACCTCTGAGAGGCAGATGATAAAATGAGATTAGATATACAAGACATTTATTAGGGGGAATGCCTGTAAGGGAAAATTGGGAAGAAGACAGAGTTGTCTAGGAGTACCTTTTGACTAGGATGCAGGTTTAATCACAGGGAAGGAAAGGAGATTGAGTGAAAGTCTTAGCCTCCATGGCAGTTGTGAGAAAGTTCAGTAAGGCTAAAGGAGAGCCCTTAGCCAAAGTCATGTGTCCGTGGAGTCCAACAGTTCCCAGGAGCAGATCTGACTAAGTATCGCTACCACAATGTGTCACTGGCTTGAAGTGGCCACTGGGAATTGTGCCCTCTGCACCAACACAGTGATGTATTTCAGAGCACAGCAGCTGGGGCCGTTGCTCAATAAAACCCCCATGGTAGAAGATTGGAAAGATGCATTTTTATGGCTATATGAAAAGACTCCACAGCTAATTAATTTGATAGAAAGTTAGCAAAGAAATGGTTCGGGCAAGTTTTACCTTATTAATTCAATTAAGCTCACTGAGGATAAGGATTGCTTTACTTATGGTCGTATTCTATACCGTACCTTTTAAAATCTCTTACATCAAGGAGATACCCAAAATATACCTTTTAAAATTTAGTTAAATCCCATTCCTTACACAATGGTTCCTATATAATTGGAAATTAGAGGAAACTCAGCCTAAGTGTCTAAGGAACTGCCCCATAGCTACGCAGCCAGCAAGTGGCAAGGACAACCCTGGATTCCGGGATTGCGTGAGACGATGTGTAGGTACGTGGTAACAGCAATGGTAGCAGTGTCTTTTTTTTTTTTTTTAAGATTTTATTTATTTATTTGAGAGAGAGAATGAGAGGGAGAGAGCACATGAGAGGGGGGAGGGTCAGAGGGAGAAGCAGACCCCCTGCTGAGCAAGGAGCCCGATGCGGGACTCGATCCCGGGACTCCAGGATCATGACCTGAGCCGAAGGCAGTCGCTTAACCAACTGAGCCACCCAGGCACCCATGGCAGCAGTGTCTTTATCATCTATAGAAAACATTCAGTTGTTACTATTAGGTTCACATTACTTTTGTTTTATCTGATTTCCATCTTACCCACTGCTTGGACCCATTTAGTGTCTAGAACCTTAAAGAGAGAAAGGAATCCTGAGAAAGGCAGAATACAGAGAGAGCCAGTACAGAAAGCATGTAGACTCTGATGCCAGACGTCCTGGGGTCAAATCTTTGCTCTAACATTTACTATTAGTTGTTTCACTCAGGGCAAGTTGCTTCTCCTCTCTAGCTTTCAGTTTTCACATCTTTAAATGAGGGATGGTGACAGTACCTACCCCCTAAGATTTTTATTAACTTATTAAATAGCTAATATTTGTAAAATTGCTTAGAACAGAGCTGCACACCAATTACTAGAGGTGAATTTTAATGTAGTTTGTCTGTTAGTGTGCCTCTAATCAAAACTGGCCTGTGGTAGAAGCCAGAAACGGACTTACATGACAGGAAGGGACATGAAGAATGTCTGAAACTAACCCTTTCATAGTGCACACTCAGAAAGAGGAACTGGAAGTAAAGGAGATGTTGGCACAAACTGATAACAGAGTGAGAAAAACACTGCAAGTGAGACTAAGGAGGAAGGCATGGGCATGGGGCGCCATTCTCACTGCCTTGGCCGGCAGCGTTATTTAGATGTGCTCATTATCTGTTTCTTTTCTGATTATGATGCTTATTGAACACACAAGTATTTTTAAATGGCATTGCTGTAAAAATGTTTCTGCCACCTTTTGTTAAGTTCAAGTCTAGAAGGTCTAGAGAGAGGACCAAAAAGCAGTAAGTTACTTATCTTTATAACATCATCATGTAAAAGTTAGAACATGAAAATATATTGCAAAACCACTGTTGTAAGTTCCTAAAATAACCGAGAACCTGAAGTCAGTTTAGGAAAAGCAACACATACCTATGTGAAACAAAGTAAGATTAATATGGGAGCAAAAACCTAGCAGGAGCAGGCTTGCATAGCACAAAAGGATCTACTGGTCCTTTTTTATAAAAATACTTAATATTTAAGAATAGAGTGCATTTAGGTTAAGGAATAATTTAGGATTCATTTTGTAACTTGTTCCTGCATCTGTACTTGAGTGCACTTGAGTGGTTATGTCTAAGTAGAACATGTTCTGTCGCAAAGGTTCAACTAAACATCCCATATACACAAATGTATATACAGTTGCATGAAAATTTTTTGGAGCATCACAGCTTAACAGACAGCATAGACAGTTGGAAGACATTAAAATGAAGATGAAAAGAATACCCAGGATTTACTTAAGGTAGGACATAGCTGGTCTGAGCCATTGTCTTCCTTCTCTACCTCCCTCTCATTGCAAGTTCTGATAGATTCGTGATTTTTTAGATATGTACTATGTTTTAGCTATCTTAAAATTCTTCTTGGTGCACCCAATAAACTTTCATTGGCCTTTAAGGGCTATTTAGTTTTAGCTGTTCCCATAGACAGAAGGTTTTTTTTCTATGAATTTTCTCTACTATTTTCCATAAAGTACCTATCTCTTAGCCTTAAGGATCCAGAACAAGTTATTACCTCTTAAAATCTTATATAGCATGCATCTTAATGGTTTGTGGAGAAGAGTACGCTAACAGTGGGGTTCCCCCTGCCGCCCCTCCTCAACTCCAATTCCTAGGTGAAAAGAGAACAAAAACAACTCAAAAGGATTTGGGGGATAGAAAAAATAAAACCCTGCCGTGTAGATCATTAAAACTTATAACATAAATGCATAAAAATTTCAAATGTTCACTCAGGTGTGGTAGTATTAATTGTGTTGTTCCAGTTTTTGAATATATAGAATGCTATGTAGGAGATGGTGGGTCCTCTGTTCTTATAAAAACAAGAGAAAATACACTCATATCATTTATACCACCAGAAGTCAATGTTTGCAGATCACCAAGCTTGCTTGGTATGATGATAAATGATTTAAATGAAGTCTCATACTTTTTAGTTATAATACATAGTCTTCCCTTCCCCATCACCTGTGGTTATCAATGATAGTGTGCAGCAAAAAATATCTTCCAAAGCCCATGTGATTTACTGCTCCAATGTAATCCACATTTAAGTTCTTATTTAGTTTAATTATTAGCATTACTAATCAAGAGGGATAGAAAAGGAAAGAAATGAGAATGCTTCCGTCGGAGTGCCAGATTCAACTCACCAGCTGTATCAATATGGGAAAACTGCTCAAACTTTTCTGACCTGTCTGTTTTAAATGGCTTTCATAAAAATCATTTGTCCCTGGGAAAGTTGTCTGTGTAATATATGATTCTCTACCCATATAAATCGTCATTTTTCTTTATCTTTAAATATCATTATATGATCAATGATGCCATTAACAGAAATGAAATAAAATAGAAATAAGGTTCATCTTATTTTTGAATTTATATTGCTAAAATATTTAAACAAGTAGGCCATTAGACTGAGGCGGCTCTGATGCCTTGGGAAACTACGTAAGTAAATCAAAGCCTGAGCCAGAGTCAGTGCATTTAAATCCAAGAAAATGAAAGTTAGGAACAATCAATTACAGCCAAGGAGGCCCCCTCAAATAAGGCAACTGCTTAGGCTATAGTCCATCAAATAATTTCCTTGCTTTGCTTCTGCATCTTCTCTATTCAAACCTTCCCCTTAGCTCCTACAGTAGACTGTTCCTAACCACTTTCAGCTAAGCACTGCTCAACTTGAGTTGATGTATGCCCAAATAAATTCTTGAAAATTCTGATGAGCCTCAGTGTATCTTTTAAAATATATTTCAGCTTTGCTTCCAGAAATCAATTACAATGAGATAAGACTCATCCTCTGGGCTTCAGAATGGCAAATGGAGTAACCAAGAGATCATCTTCAAATCACCAAAAATATTGGCATTAAACTGTAATGGTAGGTTTGTGACTGATGATTAATAGGCATTTCACTGATTTGTACTGAAATAAGTATGACTGTACATAAAGAAGTATGTCATTGTCCAGGGTGGGATGACACAGATATTATGTGGAGAAAGAGTTTCAATGGACTTCTCGTTATAAAATCATGCTGAATAAAAAAATCTACACATTGCTGATCAGTTCATTTGGGTTTTCCTGCCTGTCTACTGACTGTACCAAACCTCTGCAGGTGCCCTCGTGGCCAGTGTACTACCAGACACGAAGCAGGACAGGTCAAAAATGCACATCAAAGGCACCAATTTGACCCAAATGGCTATTTTGTTTGACACATATCATATCACAGTTGGTAGCTGCAGTGTTTATTTGAATTTCAATGCTGATTAAGCCCTTTGCCAGTCTTGTTTTTGCAAACACACGCAAAGCTAAATATACCAACCCTCGTTAAATCAAAAGAAACGTGAGAGCGTCAGGCAGTCATTGTTGTTATTACCAATAAACAAAAAATGTGTATGTTTCCCCAATCTCAGTGGTGAAATGTGCTCTGTGTTTACGGAGTAAGCTAAAGGGGGAAAAAAATCTCCATTAAGAGTTTGTCGACTCTGGCTCAGGGCTGTACCTGGGTCTCAACATCTGTCAGCTTTCTGGTCTGCTCTGCGGTCTGAGAGAGCAGGCTGGTTCCTATCTCGAGCATGGTGGCCGTGTGGTTCTGAACTGCATTCTGCTGTATCTGGGCCATCTCCGACTTCATATTTTCCACAATGTAGTTCTCAATCTGGAGGAGATAAAGGACAAAACATACTACATTATAAGCGAAGTCTCTCAGAGCATGTGATATTTACAATGACAAAACAAGACACAGCTGGCAAATCAGCCATCTGGCAGGGATCCTCTGCATTTCTGGGAGCTGGGGAAATGGGAGCCGAGCACACAGGAACCCAGTTGCTAACAAATTCCTAACAGACTGATACATAATATATACTCATCACAACCATAACGAAAATTTGTACTTGGATAGTGCTTTCTTATTTTCTACAACTCCTTCAACCCTCACAACAAAGATGTGAGTTAGGCACAGATGGCCTCATTGTTTTTTGTGGGGTTTTTGTTTGTTTGTTTGTTTTTATTTGTAGCTGAGGAAACAGAATCAAAGGTCAATGATGAGCCCACAGTCACCCAGCAAGAATGCAGCAGTGTTCACACGATAAGTTAAATCTAAATTTTGGTTCTCCGGTCTTTTCATTATAGCATATTGCCCACTAATCTCTGAGAAAAATTCAGCCTCCCGCTTTCATTGCTGTAATGAAAAGTAAAAGACCATGCTGGGTTAAGGGAATTACACAAGGAGTGGGAGGGGGGCAGATGCCCAAAACACAAGCTTTTAAGGGAATAGTAAAGTACAGGCAACAGTATACAAAACAAGCTGCAGAGCCACAGAGCCAGCTAAAACCACTCTCAGTGCTCCTTTGAAAGCTCAAAAATAAATAAATAAATAAATAAATAAATAAATAAATAAATAAATAAATAAAAAGGCACTGAAAGTATAACCCATAAAGCAGCATTTGCCCTCCTCGCCTTGGGTAACATTTAGTCCTCTATGGTGCCATCTTAGAGAATACTATGGTTGTAAAATAAATTGTACCATGGGGGCCAGGAAGAATTATTAAGTGACTCACTAGGAGGGAGGCTGCTAGGCACTGGAGAGAATAAAGCCAAGCATAAGCACTGCTTGAATAATACAGAAGAAGCCTACACCTCCCCGTCGGTGCACGTATTTCTCCCCCACCACCGTGTGGTGACTACATTTTATTACCCAATTACACATATGGGGAAATTGCATCCCAGAGAAGTCAGGTCCAAGGCCACACACCACAAAAACAGCCAGACTTGAATTTGAGTACTAAAGTCCTTAACTTTCATACCAACACTCTTAACCACTTGATAACTCTGCCAAGTTGTGCTTCACAAACCAGGTTCCAAATCATTAACAGCTATGTGATTTTTCCTGATTTAGTGGGCCATAATACATCCACTATTTTATAATCCATAGTAACATTATTGTCATGTAATAAATATAGTCTAAAGCTAAATTCCCCTTTGTGAAACTTTGGCAGCTCACTTCCTAACACCATCTCTTGCTTATTTCTATTTATCATAAATCTGCCCCAAGTGAAAGAAAATGAAAGGTTAGAATCAAACTTATATTGTTATTTTATTTATTTTTTTTAAGAATTGATTTATTTATTTGACAGAGAGAGAGACACAGCGAGAGAGGGAACACAAGCAGGGGGAGTGGGAGAGGGAGAAACAGGCTTCCCGCAGAGCAAGGAGCCCGATGCAGGGCTCGATCCCAGGACCCTGGGATCATGACCTGAGCCGAAGGCAGACGCTTAACGACTGAGCCACCCAGGCGCCCCTCAAACTCATATTGTTATTAATAAATTCTGACTATGTCCTTGGTCAATATAAAGTAACTCCCCTTCATTCTTTATTCCGAAATTAGAAGTAGAGGGGGAAAAGATCAACCTACAAACATTTGTTATAAAACAAATACAACATAGGTTAGAATAAATATCTAGAAATTATCTTGACAAAACACAAGGTCTCTAACTTGGCTTTATGCCAATTGCACGAACAGATTTAAACAACGATAGAAAGGTAATGGAAAGGAGGATAGGTCAGAGCAGCAGACAGCTTTGTTTTGGATTCTGCATCATGTTTCCCCTTTCCTCATAACATCTTTTAACTTTCTTTTGGGAAGTTATGAATGGGTGTATTTTTAAAAAATGGCAGGTGAATCTCCATCATGGAGGTCATACTCACCATAGATAGCTGACATTTCTCAATTGTCTATGTGGTAGGCATTGAACTAAAAGTGCTTTCTTTTTATAACAGTACTTAAACCTTGCAATAAGTTTATGTGGTAGGTATTGTTAGAGCTGCTTTACAAGTAAGACTATTGAGGCCTAGAAAATCCACAGCAATTTGCCCAAGAGAAACAATAAGAACCCCAATGCCAAACTCCACATTCTCAATCTCTAATCTATTCAACTTAGCACTATTTAATTACTCTGCATTTTATTGTGTAGCTCCTCAACCTTGTGTATCTATCAAAACTATACGAGAAGCATTTTAAAAAGGTACGGCACACCAGAACTCTGAATCAGAATTTTCAAGGTTATATACTAGACAACAATATATTTTAAAAGCTTCCCAATGTAATTCTGATTTAGGCAAAGACCAGTGTTTCTCAAAGTGTGGTCCACAGAATAACTGCCTATATGAGTACTGTTTGTGAACAGGCTGTCATGAAATGAAGAAACTGTGCCAGAATGCAAATTATCTACGTCACTAAGCGCACTGTTACTACAAATGTAGTGTGTGTGTAGGAGCAAGACTCTCTCAATGAAGAAAGTGATGCTCTAATGCTTTAATTTATGTTCTGGAGCAAGCTTCTTACCTTGTTCGCAAAATGACAACAATTTCCTTGAGTAGCAGTGATTTAGACCACCAAATTTATTCAATGTCATATTCCCTGCTTACCAAGAAAGTTCAAATAACAACTTGGTTTCCCATGTAGATTTGTCTAGTGAGAGAGAATTCACTAATCAGTGAGCTCCAATACAGAGCTGCTTGATAATTATACATCACTTTTTTAAAGTAGGTTCTATGCCCAGTGTGGGGCTTGAACTCACAACCCAAAATTCAAGAGACGCATGCTCTACCAAATGAGCCAGCTAGACACCCCTATACATCAACTTCTTCTGCAGTTGGTTACTGGGAGTTATTTCCCAGAGCTTAATTGGCTCTGGGTGTAATATAATCATATGTTTCAGTCTCCATAAAGGAGGACACCCTCTGGCATAGAGTTACTACATCAAGGTTCAGCTGCTTTGTGATTCTATCTTTGTTAGCTCCTATGTATTCTGTATTATTATGGTTTTTTCTTAACTGTAAAAGTTAACACCAGCAAAGCAAAGCAACTGCTTTATGTAGGCATTCATCACTAAGAGCCTCCCAATTCTGCTGACCCTGTTGCAGCAGTATAGTAGGTCTCCAACCTATACTAAAATTCTTATTTGGGCTGCCATGATTAGTAACATATATATAACTCAAGTTAATTATTTTTTAATCAAGTGCTGCTCTCTCTAGGAGTAACTGCCTTTTAATGCAAAAGATAATGGCACATTTAAGAAGCAAAAACCAGATGTAGTTGATTTAAAGGCTGAGGAGGGAGGCAGAAGTCAATATACAATGTGAGATTAATAAGGAGGGCTACTTTCATTTTATCTCTAAATATTCCTATGTAGATGTAGAACTGTGAAATACATCTTGATGTGTCATGTCAGCCAGGTTCAGGAAAGATTTGTAACAAATTCAATTGTCCTCATTTATTCCCTACCCTTTTTAAAAATATGTTTGCAGAATATGATGGCTACTTCAGGTTTTAATATTTTAGAAACATCTAAGATGTCAAGTTTAAGCTTAGAAGTTGCTGACCACAGATCTGAGAAATTATAAAGCAGGAGACTCCCAACTGAAGTATCAAATTTGACTGTACTGCCACTCAGTGTCTGACTCCAGATAAAGTGCTGTCCAAAAGACCAGCAAGAGAAGGTAGGATGGCATTTGAAATGAGATAATGAACAATGAATGATGTTTAAAGCAAAGAAATAATTTTAAATTTGTGAAGTGATATAGTGTTTACAAAAAGCTTTCATATACGTTGACTGGATTATTACACCTTAACCCTACATGGGGAGTATTCACTCTATTTTATGGTTTAAGAGATGGAGCGGAGCCTTAGGTGATGATAGAGATGAAAGAAAGGACTCAACTCTACCTTCTGATGTTCCACCAGCTTCTGATTTGGGGAAACTGCTCTATTATTGGACTTGCTGGCTGGTTGATTGATTGATTAATGAATGATTGGTTTCCTTTTTGGCTAGTTCACTGAGAATTAATTTACGCATTCCTTTGAGAAAAACATACATCATTAGAGGGTGATTACTTTATTCTGCTTCACCATATTGGAGGCCAAGTTAATCTGAAGGGAGGTGAGAGGCTCTAGAGCCAGTTATATGGAAAGTTCACTTTGCTAGCACTTTTAATGCAATGGATCATTAAAAATCCTTTCATCAATTCCTACCTTTTTTGCTTAGTATGCAATTTATAACATATTTGTTTTCTTCTACCCATTCTATTTCTTGCAAGCTATTCTAAAATATAACAAAGAGAATAACAACAGCACGCTAAGCCTCTACTAAGGTTAGGTAAGTACCTGACTGATTTCCTTGTAACAGTCTAGGCACTGCATTGTTTCCTCATTTCACTGATAAGGAAACAGGCTCAGGGAAGTTAATGTAAACTGTCTATGATCACACAATGAATGGGTGAAAGAGCTGGTATGTTGCTTTGAAAGAGGCTAGATGGCCCTGCAGGTTATGCTCCATTCTAAAGGATAGTCACTCATCAAGCACAAGCACACTACCACTAATGTCATAGACAAATTCCGGTAACACATAATATTCATGCAGGAAATACATAAAATGAAGGCTACAGAACAGATGAGGAGAAACTTGTTTAAAGATAGATAATTTTTCATTTTTTATTTTAATCATTTTCATACAGATTGATGGCTATAACATCCTGGGAAATGTTATAGGTAGTAAGAAAGTAAATATACAGTCAACTATGTGACAAGTTGCATTATTAAGTAGAGAAAAAATATTTTTAAGAAGTCAAGATTATCAGTCATTTTGCAGTTCACTCATA